AGGTAAGACCTGAGACCATAAGTCTTCTAGAAGAAAATATAGGCAGTACACTCTTTGACATCAGTATTAAAAGGATATTTTCGGATACCAGGTCGTCTCAGGCAAGGGAAACAATAGAAAGAATAAACAAATGGGACTTCATCAGACTAAAGAGCTTCTTCAAGGCAAGGGAAAACGGGATTGAAACAGAAAAACAACCCATTAATTGGGAAAAAATATTTGCAAGTCACATATCTGACAAAGGGTTAATCTCCATAATATATAAAGAACTCACACAGCTCAATAACAAAAAAATCAAACAACCCAATCAAAAAATGGGCAGGAGACATGAACAGACATTTCTCCAAAGAAGATATACGGATGGCCAATAGGCACATGCAAAGATGTTCATCATCACAGATCATTAGGGAAATGCAAATCAAAACTACACTAAGATATCACCTTACACCCATTAGAATGGCAAAAATAACCAAAACAAAAAGTAACAAATGTTGGAGAGGTTGTGGAGAAAAAGGAACCCTAATATACTACAGGTGGGAATGCAAACTGGTGCAGCCACTATGGAAAACAGTATGGAGATTTCTCAAAAAATTAAAAATAGGAATACCATATGACCCAGCCATCCCACTACTGGGTATCTATCCTAAGAACCTGAAATCAGCAATTCCAAAAGTCCCATGCACCCCTATGTTCATTGCAGCATTATTTACAATAGCCAAGATGTGGAAGCAACCAAAGTGCCCATCAACTGATGGTTGGATAAAGAGGATATGGTATATGTATACAATGGAATACTACTCAGCCATAAAAAAGGATAAAATCATCCCATTCACAACAACATGGATGGACCTTGATGGTATTATGTTAAGTGGCATGAGCCAGATAGAGAAATACAATCTCTGTATGACTCCACTCATATGAGGAAGTTAAACATGTAGACAGAGAACAGATTAGTGGCTACCAGGGGAAAGGCGGGGTGAGTGGTTATGGACACAAAGGGTGAAGTGGTACACCTACAACACAACTGACCCAGTGGCGCAGTGGTTAAGTGCACACGTTCCGCTTTGGTGGCCTGGGGTTCACCAGTTCGGATCCCGGGTGCAGACCTGGCACCGGCTGCTGTGGTAGGCGTTCCACGTATAAAGTAGAGGAAGATGGGCACAGGTGTTAGCTCAAGGCCAATCTTCCTCAGAAAAAAAGAGGAGGATTGGCAGCAGTTAGCTCAGGGCTAATCTTCCTCAAAAAAAAAAAAAAAAGCTGACAATAATGTACAACTGAAATTTCACAAGGTTGTAAACTATCATGATTTCAATGAAAATTTTAAAAAAAGGAATATGGTTTGAGTAACTAACTACTTGATTGACGTCACTTTAGTTTTGAAAGGGAAAACAACAAAACAGTAGACATCTTACATTTTTCATTACAGAGACAGACACAAAGCAGTGAACATTGTGGGGAGAGGGTTCTTTCTGACACAGCCTGGTTTATGTGTTCATAGGTATCCCAATTAGTATTCTGTTAACTGTTCTTTCAGATTTGAATGAGTGAAATATCAGTAGGAGTTTTTTCTTAGGTTAGTGTAATACTTCACCCTACTTTTGACAAGGTGAGAACAATGTGAGAGACATTTCTGTGAGATTATTAACACTTTTGATTCAGAGATTGTTTTCTTTTTCTTTTTATTTAGTTCATTATACTACTAATATTGGCCAGTATTCTTATTGAATACAGGATGGAAACATCAAAGTAATATCATTTGGTAATCATAGTATTTTCTTCTTGATATACAAAAATACTATTTTTTCTGAAATGAGTACCTGTAATTTTAAAGGGATAATAGTTGGTTGTGAGTAAACTATAGTTTAAGTAAATATTGCTTTGTCATATTTTACCATTTCTCACAGACATTAACATTCTCTCTTGGAGACAAGTGCAGTATGACAGATAAAATATCCAATACCTCTTTCCAGTAGGCAAATAATATTTCATACTTCTTTGGATTGGTGAAATACATTGTGATAAAAATCTGTTTGTCTTTTATCTATATGTAGGTATATGCATATATATGTCTCGACAGTTTCTAAAGCACAGAAGTCCACTTCTATATACAATCATTTGTGGTAGTGATACTAGTTAGACGTGTGTTTTAGAATCCTAATACAAACGTTATCAAGACTTTCTCTTAGCTTTAAATTAATATGGGACTGTTAAAATGTAAAAGAAAAAAAAGCCTATACTTTAAAGGAACATTCACTTTGATCAGAATTACCTACATGATTCAATATAATGCTTTAAATTAAATAGAAATAGCCAAATTATGAGGGACTAGGTACTGCTATTAGGACTACTGTTCCTTTACTTTTCTTTCTTAGTTTCCTTTAGATTAGTGGTTCTTAAAGTATGATTCCCTGACCAGCAGCAACAGTGTCACCTGGGAAGTTGGTAGAAATGCAAATATTCAGGCCCCATCTCTGACCTGCATGAGAAGGTCTGGAGCCAGGACCCAGAAATCTGTGTGTTTACAAGCCTTCCATGTAATCCCAATGTATGCGAAAATCATTTCTTCTGTCTTTCTGTCTTTCTCTATGTGTGTGTGTGTGTGTGTGTGTGTGTGTGTGTGTAATTTGTAGGACTACTGGACAAGGGGTATCAGATTGCTTCTTTTTTTTAATTTTTATTTTTTTCAGATGTACATCATATTTCAAATTCTGGATACATTACATCATGTTCACCACCCGAACAATAATTATAGTGCATCCCCTCACATGTGACCCTAATCACCCCTTTTGCCCTCCCCCCTCCCCCCTTCCCCAATGGTAACCACCAGTCCAATCTCCAATGCTATGTGGGGTTTTTTTGTCATTTTTATCTTCTACTTATGAGTGAGATCATATGGTATTTGACTTTCTCCCTCTGACTTATTTCACTCAGCATAATACCCTCAAGGTCCATCCATGTTGTCACAAATGGCTGGATTTCGTCATTTCTTATGGCTGAGTAGTAGTCCATCGTGTATAAATACCACATCTTCTTTATCCATTCGTCCCTTGATGGGCACCTAGGTTGCTTCCAAGTCTTGGCTATTGTGTATAATGCCGCAATGAGCATAGGGGTGCAAGTATCTTTATGCCTTTGTGTTTTCAAGTTCTTTGGATAAATACCCAGCAGTGGAATAGCTGGATCATATGGTAGATCTATCCTTAATTTTCTGAGGATACTCCAAACTGCTTTCCATAGTGGCTGGACCAGTTTGCACTGCCACCAGCAGTGAACAAGGGTTCTCTTCTCTCCACACCCTCTCCAACATTTGTTGTTTCCTGTCTTGTTAATTATAGCCATTCTGACCGGAGTGAGGTGATACCTCATTGTAGTTTTGATTTGCATTTCCCTAATAGCTAATTATGTTGAGCATCTTTTCATATGCCTGTTGGCCATCTGTATTTCTTCTTTGGAGAAATCTCTGTTCAGATCTCTTTCCCATTTTCTAATTGGATTGTTGGTTTTTTTGTTGTTGAGCTGTATGAGTTCTTTGTATATTTTGGATATTAACCCCTTATCTGATATGTGGTTTGCACATATCTTCTCCCAATTGTTAGGTTGTCTTTTCGTTTTCTTGAAGGTTTCCTTTGCTGTGCAGAAGCTTTTTAGTTTGATGTAGTCCCATTTGTTCATATTTTCTTTTGTTTCCCTTGCCCAGTCAGACATGGGACTTGAAAATATGCTGCTCAGACCAATGTCATAGAGCGTACTGCCTATGTTTTCTTCTAGAAGTCTCATGGTTTCGGGTCTTACATTCAAGTCTTTAATCCATTTTGAGTTGATTTTTGTGCATGGCAAAAGGGAATGGTCTACTTTCATTCTTTTGCATGTGGCTGTCCAGTTTTCCCAACACCATTTATTGAAGAGACTCTCCTTTCTCCATCGTATGCTCTTGGCTCCCTTGTCGAATATTAGCTGTCCATAAACATGTGGGTTTACTTCTGGGCTCTCAATTTTGTTCCATTGATCTGTGTGTCTGTTTTTGTGCCAGTACCATGCTGTTTTGGTTACTATGGCTTTGTAGTATAATTTGAAATCAGGGAGTGTGTTACCTCCAGCTTTGTTCTTTTTCCTCAGGAATCCTTTGGCTATTCAGGGTCTTTTGTTGTTCCATATAAATTTTAGGATTCTTTGTTCTATTTCTGTAAAAAATGTTGTTGGAACTTTGATAGGGATTGCGTTGAATCTATAGATTGCTTTAGGAAGTATGGACATTTTAACAATGTTAATTCTTCTAATCCAAGAGCACGGAATATCTTTCCATTTCTTTGTGTCTTCTTCGATTTCTTTCAACAATGTTTTATAGTTTTCGGTGTACAGGTCTTTCACCTCTTTCATTAAGTTTATTCCTAGGTATTTTATTCTTTTTGTTGCAATTGTAAATGGGATTGTATTCTTAATTTCTCTTTCTGCTACTTCATTGTTAGTGTATAGAAACGCAACAGATTTTTGTACATTGATTTTGTATCCCACAACTTGACCGTATTCCTTTATTATTTCTAAAAGTTTTTTAGTGGACTGTTTAGGGTTTTCTAGATATAAAATCACGTCATCTGCAAAGAGTGACAATTTCACTTCTTCTTTTCCATTGTGGATCCCTTTTATTTCTTTTTCTTGCCTGATTGCTCTGGCTAGGACTTCCAATACTATGTTAAATAAGAGTGGTGACAGTGGACATCCTTGTCTGGTTCCTGTTCTTAGAGGGATAGCTTTCAGTTTTTCTCCATTGAGAATGATATTTGCTGTGGGTTTGTCATATATGGCCTTTATTATGTTGAGGTATTTTCCTTCTATACCCAATTTATTTAGAGTTTTTATCATAAATGGATGCTGTATCTTGTCAAATGCTCTCTCTGCATCTATTGAGATGATCATGTGATTTTTATTCTTCATTTTGTTAATGATTGCTTCTATATAACATTTATCCAGGAACTCTATTGTTGCTTTTTTGTTCCCTGCAGTTTTCCTTGTTGATTCATGACTTTATTCAGTGATAAGATGAAAATTCCTATCTTCACTGACCAATCCACTGAACCATCATATTAATTCAACTGTATTGCATCCTTGAAAGTAATCCTGTCAATGTAAGTCTTAAGTCTTTTCTCATTGTCTTTGAAAATATTATTCTAATATTAATACAAATATGAAAACAATGGATAAGTTCTCCTTCTGTTCCTACAGTCAGAAGGACCATAGAGTGTTGGTAGGGAGAATAATTATACTGTATTATACAAGTATTTATTCACAGTTGTTTGTGAAATCTTGGCAACTCATTTATTTTGCCTTACATTCCCAGGTGAATTTAACCAATTGAATAATGGAATTCACTTTGTTTTGATTTTAATTTTTACTATAGTCCAGTACATTATAGGCACACTAATATTAATTGCGATGGAAAAGGTGATAGCTTTACGGATAGGTAAATTGGAAGAAGGCAGAGAGTCAGAGCAAGATTTATGTGCTCTGCAAAATAGTGAACTACTTCTGGTCTCCACATTTGGAGAAGAATAATCAGGAATTTCAGATTTTGTGCTTCTCTTTGAGTTTATCTGGCAAATTATTGAATGATTTCTGCCCTGAATTTGAGCTTTTAGTACATGAAAACATAGCTGTATACTTCATGCTCAAGAAACACACTTTCTGTAACTAAGTAGTATACTGTACCTATGACAGAAACATAAATAATGTGGATGATTTTTGTTAGAATTTTCTTACCTTTAGTATGATAGTCATCCAAAGTTTATATTTAGCCTTGTTTTTTGGTTCAGCAATTTAAATTAAATTTCCCAACATGTTTTCTAACTATTTTTGTCTTTAGTATATAAGTATTTGATTCTGCTGTATGAGGTATAACAGATAAGTGCTAAGCCATAATCCACACATGAAGATGTCTTATTGTTTTAATGTCATATTTGAAATTTGTACTTATAGCATTGTATTGATATTGTGCATTACATGAAAATGGATAGTAAATGTACCAGAGAAGCATAACATTACTCTCAAATCTTGATTATCCATGTTAATAGACGTGAGCATTGGTGGAGGTTTGTGTAGATTCCAGATCAATATAAATCACTTATATTTATTCCATCGTGACATCTATTTCAATATATTTTGTGTGCTCATATATGTCCATATGTGTATATGTGTTTGTATGGGTATCAGAGATTTATTTTTATGATTATGCTTTTTTCTAAGGATATTTTTTAAAAGTTCTAAATTGCATTTCCTGTGCATATAGCTGTAGAGGTAGTTGGTGAGATGGTAGCTCAGAATTCCTTGATTGATAGTGAGATGTTAATTCTATAGGAAAATAGGCTTGATTTAAAAAATGAGTCTATGTAGTTGTGGACAGAGCAAGGTAAAAGAAGAAAAAGTAACTGGTTATGAAAACCCTGATTTTGATAGTTAAGTAATATATTGCTGAACCAAGGACACTTTTTCCCACATTTAGCAGGCAGGACTCACTGTGACTTTTTTTAATAAGAAATACTAGACCTAAAATATTCTATTTGTGTATTTTTTTAAAGCTCGCTAGGAAATCCTGAAGACCAGAAAATTTGGGTATCATTTACACAGGTAATCAAGCATCAATTAGATAGTTGCACAATGATAATCGGTTTTCCAACAGCACTTTTATAGTGTAAAGTGAAGTTAAACTTTAGACCTCTTTATTCTTCTTTGCAAGATCTTACTATGATTCTGTCTGGGAAATAAAGTTCTGTCCCTTCCCTTCCTTCTCTAATATCTATGAGCAGATCTGAGATGTAAAGTGAGACTTCCTGTTTCTTGATTTGAAGGACCCCTTTTTGATCAAGACCTCCTGCCTTCTGGCAACTGACTAGTAAACTTAATCATGTCTTTGGATGGCTTTATTTGCACATGAAAATCCTGGAAACTTTTATATGGAAAGGAATTTGATAACTTCAATAATGTCAGTGTACCAATGTAAATGATCTGCTTTGTTCTCAGATCATTGGTGATTAAAGGTATAGATTTAAATGGAGATTTTAAATTAAATTTAAATTTAAATTAAATGGGGCCTGGGATTAGGCCATTGAATTTTTAACCTTTAACTAATATTGACAAAGAAAATTTGCCATTAAGGAAAGGAAAATTGCCATTTGCAAAAGAGATTTCCATATTAAAAATGAATTTGGGACCTTTTTTATATCAATTAAAATTGTATAGTTTACATGTGACATTTCTAAAATATTTCTTAGATAAATGATTGATCTTCCTAAAGCTTTTACATGAAGCCAGCCAATGTCATGAATTAATACTTTTCCAGATCCAAGAATTTGCAGATAACAAACTTTGTTAGCTTCAAATAATTCAGTGATAATTCTAGAAAAAGAAATTAGAAAACAGGCATGTCAGTTCTTACTGCATATTCTGTCCTTCATATAGCATCTTGCTCTTTCCAGTGTCCTAAAGACATTATATAGATCATTTCACTTAATGAATGAATGACCAAAATCCAACAGCCTGATGTGTAATCAGTTCAGCCCATTCATCTTTAAGGATTGATTTGGATATTGACATAACTGATGAAACTGTATGAACATTAGTAATTAATGTGGCTTAAAATGAAACAAACATGATGTGGGCCATTTCATCATATAATAAAAGTAAATATTCTTCTATTTATGTTTATGGAGATTTCATATAGAGAAACAGAATAGGTTTAATCTTCTCACTGACACAGATCTGCCCTTGCTTAATTGGACTTTTGCAAAAATGCTTGGACTATCAAAGTTGGTTCTACAGATGTCAAATAAAATGATTCTGTTTGCTGTAGTTCTACTATGGAAATACACAACACTAAATTCTAAATATTCAGATTCTGTTCTAATTCTTTTCAGATTCTATTTTCATAATTCTCTTCTATTCTATTCAAATTCTATTCTAATAACTCCATAGATAGGCAAAATATGAATACTGTCTATATAAATCTATCTTAAGCTTCATATAATTTTTATTTCTGGATTCAGGAAAGAATGCCTAAACTCAAAGCTATGTCTATAATGAACCTTATTTACTTTCCTAGATTTATTTGCTTAGATAGCTTGTTCGAAGATCCATTTAGTAACTGTCATTGTACGTAACTACATAATAGTATAATTATATTTAATTGCATTTATAGTGTTTAAAATTTTAATTTCCTGACACCTCCCCAACTGTAAAGTTTTCTGAGCATGTCACATTACACATCTGCAGAAAACATTTTTTAAAGCTCAGGAATCTTATGCCTTTATATATTCTTGCTCTCATTTTGGAGACAAATTTAGTAGTTTCATTTGTTTTTCATTTTAAACTAACATTCATTATCTCCTTCAACCAACATTTCTTAAAGGGTTACTTGGCACATAGAAGAGGTAATGAATTAGGTGCTATCCTTATCCTCAAGCAATTCAAGGAATTCATACCCTAATAATGAACTTCAGTAATATTCTTTAAAATGAGAGCAGTAATATATATGAAACTGAATAATATATAAGAATACTGTGATGCTTTTGGATTAAGATGGTATACATTACTTTTAAACATTATGCTCTTCAGTCAGTTGGGTCTAACACACACAGACATGCTCTCTGATCTCACTTTAAATTCATGGCAGTTAACCTCAGTGATATACTATGATTATTTCATGAACAAAATTTATACCACAAAATTAGTACAATCATTATAGTATTTACTTGAAGTAATATTGAGAAAGGCCACAATTTTATATCAAAAATATTACAACTCTAACAAATCCCTGAGAATGCCTGTTTGCATGCACCAATGGATCTAACAATTTTGCCATAATCATGGTGGCTTTTATTTCACTTATAGATTTAAACATGATTACATACATTGATAATTTACTTCCTAGTATTAATTTTGTTTACATCAAAGTTAAGTCTATTTTTAACTTTTTCATATGCTTTAGGTATAACACTGATTTCAAGATGCTAACCTTTTCTCTCAATAATTTGCTTGCTTTCTAGTTGGTCTACTGACTTCACAATGTCTGAAATCAGATTTAGCAATCTCACTTGGGATCAAGTTGTAACACTGGATCAAGTGTTAGATGAAGTAACTCCAATTCATGGAAGGGGGAATTTCCCCACGTTGGAGGTAAAACCAAAAGATATCATTCATGTTGTGAAAGATCAACTGATAGAGCAAGGAATTATTGTTAAAGATTCCAGATTAAATGGTTCCACAGCAAGTTATATACTTGCAAGCCACAATGGAATCAGCTATAAGGATCTGGATATTATTTTTCGTGTTGAACTACCAAGTGATCAAGAATTTCAGGTTGTTAAAGATGCAGTTCTAGGTTGTCTCCTGGACTTTTTACCAAAAGGTGTAAAAAAGGAAAAGATCACCCTAAAGACCATGAAAGAGGCTTATGTGCAGAAGATGGTCAAAGTTTGCAATAAGCATGATCGTTGGAGTCTCATCTCTCTTTCAAATAACACTGGTAAGAATGTAGAGCTAAAATTTGTGAATTCACTCAGACGACAATTTGAATTTAGTGTAGATTCCTTTCAAATTGTTTTGGATCCCATGTTAGACTTCTACAGTGACAAAAATGCTCAGCTAACCAAAGAATCCTATCCTGTTGTGGTAGCTGAAAGCATGTATGGAGACTTCCAAGAAGCAATGACACATTTGCAATACAAACTTATATGTACCAGAAAACCTGAAGAGATTAGAGGTGGCGGCCTTCTGAAGTACAGCAACTTGCTGGTTCGTGACTTTAAGCCAGCTTGTGAAGCAGAAATCAAGATCCTGGAACGTTATATGTGTTCTAGGTTTTTCATTGATTTTCCTGATGTAGCAGAACAGCAAAAGAAGATTGAATCGTACCTCTGCAACCATTTCATAGGAGAAGAAAAGAGCAAGTATGACTACCTTATGACCTTGCATGGAGTTGTGAATGAAAGCACTGTTTGCCTCATGGGTCGTGAAAGAAGACAGACACTCAATATGATCACCCTTATGGCTTTAAAAGTACTTGGAGAACAGAATATTCTACCCAATACAGACAATGTAACTTGCTTTTATCAGCCTGCTCCATACTTTGCTGCTAATGGAGGATACCCTTCTTATTATGTAATATCTGGACCACCACCTGTTTTCTTTCAGCCATACTACCCACTGCACTTTCATGTGCCAAATTGTACGGTTTAAAAAACACACATACAATAGAAACTTTGCTTTAATTAAACATCTCTCAAAAGCAAGTTTCCAAATTCCATAAATGTAAGATCTCTTTTTATTTTTATGCAATTGCTAACTATTTTCCATCAATTATAGCTTAAACCATCATAATAAATACAATATCATCTGTGAACTGACCACTTTAAGTGGTTTTCAGATGTTATTGATTAGCTATAATAACTTTCCAATGTCTTGGAACACTTAAAATGATTTTCAAATATTACTAGCTATTTCTTGACTTTCAGACTTGCTGTGACACATACAGATACCTGCCATTTGACTAAAATATAAAAGGAAAGACTTATGTTTTAAATTCCAGAGGTACAGTAAAGACAAGTGCTAACATTTTTGTATTTAATCAATTCCTTTATGTTTACATCATTACCATCGGTGAATTTTCATTAGTTAACAGAAATGCCTAATTTCAAAGACAACAGATTCAGAAGACATTAAAACCCTGGACTTTTCAAGCATTTATTTCTTCCCAGTTAAATTGGATTAGATACAAAATCCTAGTATAGTTTGAAGTAACACTGAAAAATAATGGTTCTGGAAAACAATGGACATTAGTAATTTATCAACTATCAAGTAAGTTAGTTAATTTGTGGATCTGAAGAATAATACCATCCAGCTGTACAACCAATACTGTACCCAATACAGATTTCTTCATTTTTCCCCCAAATAAGTTGAAAAGAATGAAAATGACCAGCTCTGAATGTGAAAATTTTCTGTCATCATCTGTTAAAAGGAGACTCTAAAACGCAAATAGCAAAAAGCAGAAGTTTTTAGCCTTGGCATTTACGATTTTTCTCACCTGTTTGACCAACATCTTAATATATCTGGAGACATTCAGTGTTAGTAAGTGAAAATATTTTCATTATTACTAAATGAAGCACTTTTTTCATTTTGCTCTTACCAAAGATCATTTCTAACAAGCCACTTAAGTGCCTCCTCATGTGAGTTTTTGCATAACACTATAATTTATTCAAATATTGCATATGTTCATCAGGTATCTGAATATCTACTTACTACATCAAATATGCTGCTAGCAAATCTACCATCAGGATTAAAACATAATGAAGAAAATAATCCATGACCAATATTATCTGAGATGACAGAAGGGGTGCTGTCCTGAATGAAGATAAATAAGACCATCAGAAAACTTCACTACTTTCACTTACTTCTGATTTTTTATGAGTTTCCATCTCAGTTTTCATTGACAATCACAAGTTTTTCCATCACAACATGATCCAACAGTATTCTGAGAATTTGTCAGTTATAGACTACACTTAATATGTCTTCTCTGTATTACAGTATTGAACACAAGAAGTACACCAAATATGGCATTTTTAAATACCAATATTTCTGAGATGTTTTATACCACAGCACCACTGGCCATCAGTATATTTTTAAAGAATTATATTTAAAAAATATATGTATTTATGTGTCTGTATACACACATATATATCAGTCCACACAACCCTAAGGCTTTAAAACATTATATGGATTCACCTCCTTGCTTGGGACAAACAAAGAATTTATAAATGCTATATTAAAGAGAAAATTCAGTAATCTGTTGACATAATGTATTGGCTGAAAATGATTGATCTTTCGGCCCTAAGTGTACTCTAGAGAGTGCTTATACGTAGAGCTAAAGGAGTTGATGCTATATTAACAGTACCAAAAAACAATTCCAAAAGATACAGGAAAAGTATTTAAGACTAAAATAACTATGATGGTGATGAGTCACTTGTAAAGGCATTTTACGCTGATGAGCAGAATGCTGAAGCTGTTTGGAAACATCTTATGCCCGATGTTCTCCCTTAGCTTCCTTTGGTCCTGTTGAGAATTTAAATTCTTCCTCCCTAAAAAGCAATTTCCTTATGGTGTTCTCCTAAAGCTTTAAATCCTGCTTGAAGAGTGGTCTGAAAGCTTTGTGCTTCTTCCATTTCAAGCATGTGTTTCCATTTTGGTAAAAGAGGTCAGAATTGGCATGTAATATTTTCTCAAGAGAGAGAGAAGCCAAACTTGTTGAATAAGAATGATATCACTAAAGAGAAAGCTATAGCTTTCTCTCTCGTGGTGGTCTTTCTGTACATACCATCACCAAGCTAGGCTGTCTTTTGCTCCCAACCAAGCAGAAAAATATTTATCTTTAGTAGTGCATGAGTATCTCTCCAGGATTAGGCTGGTTGCCTTGAGAAGCAGTGTTGTCTCATTCTGTTCATTAGGATAATAAATGGAAAAGTTTTTCTATAAATAAATGAGTGGTAGACTCTTGGCCTAAAGGAGTTCATAGAAATTAGTTAAAAAATCTAACTCTAGAACATATGTCATCTCATTACAAGAGATAAATGGTATTGTCTTTTCCTCTTTTATTTTATTCAAATCCAAGACTGAGTCTTGGTTTACGAGTTGTTGTTTTCTCCCCGAAACCTAACCAAAAGCGAAAAAGAAAACCTTTTTGGTATAGTTCTAGCATTCATATCAGTGGAACATCTTCAGTGTCAGTTACAGATACATATTTTTTAAACCAAAATATTACTGCATTTCACAAATCCACACATTATCATCAAAGTTCTACTAATAGAGTATTTGTAATTTTTAAATTCAGAGAGATTCTTCTAATAGTGACTGATGTCCAGTTTAGTCAAAGAAAGTTGAAGAGAAGGATTAGCTAGTTGTTTTAAAGGAGAGAGAGCCCAGCTAAATTAAAGACAAACTTCCAGAGCCAGAACAGTTGTGAACTTCTCGAAAAAATTGAGAAGGCATCCTGGGCACAAATACCATTTTTGTATATCACCTCAGAAAGGCTCTATTAAAATGCATCCAAATTAAAGAGTTTTTAAAATTTGTCTTTACCACATTTTAGTTTTAGGCATTGATAAAAATATCAATATACAAAATGCTTGAGATATGATTAACACTCCTTTCGGTGGATCTATTATCTGGAAGTATTCAAGTTACAAAATACAGGAAGCTAAAGTATATAATTGAGAAAAATTTTGCAATTTTAAAGTTTGTAATGCTTTTCAAAATTATATTGATCTATCAACACAGCACTTCCATTTATAGAGGATTTAAAAAAATAATTGACTCTGTAAATTAGCCTTAAAGCAGCATTGAGAGATATGTGAGACCACAATTTGGTAAACATTCTTACGAAGACCATTTTGGCAGCATAAAGCTCAGCATTTTAACCTGCTCTGGGGCTTATTTGCTTTACTATCATAAAAGAAAGTACATTTAATGATGTTTTATTTTAGTTCTGCTGTCATTATTGTGGTTACATTCTATATGTTGTAATGTTAAAATTTGCGTAATAAGTATTGGAAATTGTGTTACTGATCCACAGCTTCATTTTATGAATATTTTTTCAGCGTATATAGCTGGAGGTAGCTTTGTTGGGGCATCAGTGTATGGCTCTTAAGTGCTTTCTTAAGGAACAGTTTTCCTTGAATTTTGTGAGTTTGAGCAAAAACATACAATTTAGAGTATGTGCTATCTGGAAACCGATTTAACATGTAACAGGTGACCTTTAAGCTCAACAGTTACGAGTTTTGCTTTACTTTAATATGGGGGAATGTGAAGTTATTTTTCACGAAATTTTTGTGTCTAAGGTAGTGCTACATGGATTGCATTAGTGTTTGAAACAACAACGGAAACCTCTTTTTATTTAGATGTAGCCCTTGAAAGAGCAACGGAAAATTTATAGACGAATTTTTTTGTTTGTATGCTTTTTATGACCCCTCAAAATAGCAAACTCCCTATTCTAGAAAAAGAATACTATAAGATATACCTTTCAGAACTTCAGGGCCAAAACGTTACCCCCTGTAAATTGAGAGGGCCCTCTCTGCAAAATTTTCTCTTATGGCTCCGAATTAAAAGTGATGGACTGACTAACCCTGTTAAATCCAATTCAAGTAGTTTCTTGATGATTTATGACAATTCACTTGTTATACATTCTAGACTGATGGTAGAATCGAACCATTCTTTAAAATTCTAATGAGCAGTCCACTTTATATTGGTCCTTTGGCTCGACTAGAGAACCCAGAAGCCTAAGATTTAATTCTTACTTTGGCTTTTGTACAGCCCTGGAGATATCAGTGTCAGAGACTGGTCTCTGTGAAAATGACAATAGAGAGTGGTATGAGTGTTCACACTAATATCTTATTCAGCAGTTTCATTCTTATTATATGAAGACAACATAAAAAAAGACTTTTCTATATAGAATGTGGCTTCAATCTCAAATGGAAAAATAATAAATCTATTGTAATTAATTTGTAAAATCAGAATTAGAAAAGGAATTCCCCCCAAAAAGAAATTCCAATATATTTGTAGTAGTCACTTCTAAAATGTTTCTTTAAAATAAAAACTGGTATTATATAGCCATTAACATTTAAAATTTGTTTTAAAAAGTTTTACAAATGTCCACCTCCCCCTAATAAAATTCAGTAGTCAACTCAAGTATATATTAGTGGATATTTGAATAAAGAGGATTAAAAATGTTCTTTAAGCCTTACATATGGCCTCTTTGAACAAAATTCTACATAAATTATTTTCTTTATGGTTTGGGGAGTTTTGTATGGTAGCTTTGGGACCCCTAGGATTAAATGACTTCAAAGAGCAATGGTTACTTAGGCTGTGAACTCCAAATAACTTTTTTCTTATTGCAACTTCTCAAGATTTATTATCAGGTAAAATGCTTTCAGATAGTGTCAACAGGTAAAAAATGTATATCATAACAGTTGTTAAGGTTAAAAGTCTACTTCTGTTGAAAGCACCTAAATACATATTTAAAGTGAAAGGCATTATCTTTTTCTAGGTAAATAATATATGTACTGAAATAGTAACCATATCAGAAAAGTTATCTGCTTTAGAAATGTAGAGGACTATATTTAATATACTATAAATAGATTTATATAAAATCTAATGCCTGTTTACTAAGTCAAGGAGAGTACCTCTATAGAAGAGAGATACAAATTGTAATCCTGACAGTTTACAAAAAGGGGGCACATAATCCATTTTCATGAAGAGCATGTTTTGAATTCCTCCTGTTTTTCTTTCACATTTTCATTGTTTACCTAAATGATACCTCTCTGTGCTCACACTGATGAGATGCAAAAAAGATGAAGTCTAGGGACAATTTATTACTGTATTACCAAAAGATAAAATGACACTGTTCTAAGTTTAGTTCCTAGTGAGGAGAGAGTCTAGAAATGTCAGAATTATTGACTCAGGTAGGATTGTGATCAATAGATGGTCCCATTCCAGAGAATAAAGCTTTCACATGTGCATTGTGGAGAATCCAATTAGGATCTCTGATTTTTCAGGATTTCGCTTAACCATATAAGTAGTTACACTAACTACTTGTTACACTAGTAGATACACTAAGATAAACAACAACACTTGAATTCAATGGCCATGATTCTAGAAGATAACAACTCACTTTTCAGTTCTTTAAGAACCCTGGAATTCTAGGCACTAAATGTGAAGAAATCACTTATATGGCTTACATATCATTCAGAGTCCAGACTGTATAAGTTATAAACTAACTTTTTTTTAGTTAAGAAATAGTCAAAATCATTTTAAGCATTGTTATGTGCTCTTGTATAATTCTTGGGAATTTTTTAAAGTTAAATAAGTTGCATTGCAGTTTTAATTAGTATATAAAAAATTACAAGTCAAGCCAATTAGCCTTTTTTAACAACAAAAGCCACATATCAATTCAGATATAATACATTAAATTATATGTTAAAGTATACAAACTTACAAAATATTTAAATTCCTATAGAGTTAATTTTATGTTGAAATATAAAACTACGAATAGGTGATTCACCTTCATTAATTATAATGTAGTATCACATTTGTTGAAAAATTTCAGTATATTTCATTGAAAAACCTTAAGTGTTTTCAATAAATATTAGAAATAACCTGTTGGATTATCTGAATTTTCCAGATCTCAATCCATTATAATTCGAGGATGTTGTCCTATAGCTGTCTTTTCCAATTTGTCCTTAATTTTCTTTAAGTTCCCAATTTACAAATGAGTAATGCTGAAACATAAGGTGACATAGCAGACTCTTGCTTGCTCTTTAAATAAAGATATTCTGTTTTACAACAAATCCCATATATCCCTAAAAAGCTCATCTACTTTATATCCATACACTGGCACTAGATTTAATTGAAATGTAAAATTCACTTTGATGGCTGTGACTGTTTCATCTTATATAGTCCCTAGATTGAGTGACATCAGTCTTAGTAACATCCTTCCAGTTTGAAAAGCATGCGCAAGTAGAAAGTTCTTTAAGTTCTTCTGAATGTAAATAAATGTCTCAACCTGAAAAACAAAGAATTAAGGCAATTGTCCAGATGATTAGGACAGAAACATGTCATTAAGTAATGAACAAGGAAAAGTGGACCTAAATTATTTATGATCCTAGTCATTGAATAACTGCATTTTTCCCATATTGATCAGACCAAAAGTAACTACTGGATATGAGAAAAATCCTACAATACCATTTCACTAGATATAAAACAATTTGTCAGATAAAGAATACATTTAAAGTTAGAAGATAAGCAAACAAATTGAATCCATAAGCATTTATCTTAAAGATATGTTTCAAGTTTGAATTAAGTCAAATCCAATTGTTTAGCATTAAAGAAAATATTAGTGAAAGAAATTATAGTCATTAAGTAGGAAATGAAACATGTAACTGTGGTTGCCCAGCACCCAGTAAAATTGCTAATATGATTTCCTACACTACTACAAGAAGGCAGTCTTACATTTTAACTTTAAAAAATTCAACATTTTAGGAAAGCAGTAAATATAAATAGTTTTATAAATGTTTTAGGTGCCTTTTTAGCCTTATACTTCACATCACCAATTTTAATCTTTTACTGCAAAAATTTTGAACTCTTCTTAAGAACTTACTGTTTCTGTAAATGAAAATTTCAAAAGTATTAATGGAGCATCTAAGAGATGACTGAAATGTCCAGAGCTGAGTGAAACGTATCTTTGCTTTAATGTTGACTATATGTTAAATCGTATTAGTTTTTTTTTTACCATGTTACTGCTCATATAATTTCTGAGACATGTAAGTGCTTTTTTGAAAAATCTGTTTTACTGTTGACCAAAGCATAATATTATTCGAACAGTGCAGGGTCTTTTTGGTGGAAGCTATTTTTAAGTGAATTATACCATGATAATTGTACTCTTATTATTTGTCTAATAGCTTATACCTGTTTCATTTGCTTTGTTATGTACTTTTGTGCTCTCTGTGGAAAAGCATTATAGAGATTCTGTTATTAGATTAAATGTGTTTTTGAAATAAAATCACTGTGAAACATGCAGCAATGTGCCAACTGCAAAATGGGTAAATGCTTATTATTTCAAATACCAAATCAATCATTTGCAGTGTGTCCAAAAAATTACTCAGAAAGGAGCTTTACCCTGGAATTTGTACAGAATCCCCATTGACAATGGGGAGGGACTGACCTTCAGTATACTATAGCTCTATATAAATGACTTTTACCATTTATAACAGATTATATTCATATAGTATATTTTTTCAAGCACTGTAACATTTCATTTTGAGCATTAGTAGAAACGTAATTCATTTATTTTGGGACCCCTGACAGTGATGCCGTTAAGGTGCTTGCATATTATGAAATTTCTGATCAGGCTTGGTGATTGCTGTACTTGTCCTCCCCCTACATTATTTCCAATGTTAAAACAAAGTGAAGACACATTTTGCGCATCCCTGCCAAAATGGATCTTGTCCTTAGTAGGAATATCTAAAATATTGCATGATTTCTTCAAAGATATGCTTTGTTCATTTTTTCTTAAAATTTTAGTCTTTAGGTATTTAAAAATAAAATTGTAGAAGACATAAAAAGATGAGCAGTATCCTATTTCCCATCACTGCTCATATCACATGTTGTCCTTAGCTGCTTCCATATTCATCTGTCATATCTGGTGTTGTTACAGAATCCCTATTTTTTAAACCACAATTAGTTATCATGGAAAGAATTACAACCTTAAAAATATAATTTTAACAATATGATCAAACAACAAACTGGGTCTCCTTTAGAATATACATGCGCCTGTGAAATGGACTCCACGTTTCTTCAGCTCTTTATTAGAGATGCCCTCCCTCCACATCCACACATATAAGGATACACAAATGTATCAGGTACTTAACATACGTGTCACGGAGGAAAATCCCCTCTCCAGTTTCAAAAGGAGCCTGAAAACTGATATATGAGAATGGTCTTAGGTTATAGTTAAAATATTTAGTTTAAACTGATCATTTTTTTCTAGGCACACAAGAGATGGGTATAAGACAGTGGGCTGAACTGAGAGACATTACCAACTAATATAGAAATTTTTTTTTTAAAAACCAGAAGTCATCTGAGAGTAGTTCTATGGGAAGGTAATTATATTCTTACAGGTTTTCTGGTGCCTTCATGGATTATAAAGGAGACCCAAAACTCACCTAACAACTCTTGTCTGGGCATGTCTGTCTTTCAAAACTTATTCACAGAGTACTATCTTTGGAGTGGTGACTTCTGTGATCCACCTCAATGCCTAAAAGAAATAAATTTGAACCTCACCATTGGGGAAGCCCTCAGGGAAATTGTTAAGTATGGCTTTGTCACTCCCTTCCAAAGACTCAGGCCCCTACTGTGCATTTGACTCTGCATCCTAGCACTTCACACCCTCACCACTTCACCTAGCTCATACATTTATATCCTAATGTGATTTCCCTTCCATGGGCTGTAATCAATATATCCCTCCTTCAAAATGTTAATGACCTGTGGTATCATCTTCTGTCAAGCAAATTAATTCTTTTAACATATCATGTGAAACGTCGAGGGTGAAGTCAGTAAAATAGTGGAGTAAGGACTTCCAGAAATTCAATTATTGATAAAAAACTGAAAAGATCCACAGCCCCAAGTGGCCCCAGCTCAGACCCCATATATATATAATATATAATATAATATTATATATATAAATACATATATATACATCTTCTTTGTCCATTCATCAATTGATGGACACAGATTGCTTCCATATCTTGGCTGTTGTAAGTAATGCTGCAATGAACTTTGGGGTGCATATATAGTCATGACCACATAATGTCATTTTCATCAATAATGGGCTGCAAATACAATTCTAGTCCTCTAAAATGAATACCATATAGCCTAGAAGGTGACATCAGCAACATGGCAGAGTGAGCTGTTCCCTTGTCTCTCCCCCTGTGAATTACAACTAAATGGACATCCATTGACCAAAGGAGGACACTCACACAGCACAACAGGATGCCTGAACAACCCATGCAGCTGTAACTCTGAAGGTGGAGGGACTGGGTCCCTGGGAAGCAGTGGAGATAGGTGAGCACTCCCCTACTGCTCTCTGGAAACAGTGAGCCAGGTCATGGGTCCTCTCACAGCAAGAGGAGACAGGGACAGCCCAGAATACAGGCAAATGCTATACTGGCCTATGGGAGCACACACTGTATTGCAGCATCCCAACCAATGAGAGCACACACTGGTGTGACTGCGAGAGGAGACAGCAGCAGCCCTGTGAGCTTGTGCAAATGCTATCCTAGCTGGGAGTACCCATGGTGCTGCCATGGCCCTGCCAGTGGAAACACACCTTGGTGCAACTGTAAGAAGAGGTGATGGCAGCCCTGTGTGCATGCATGAACACTTTCCCAGCCTACAGTAGCACCCACCGTACCACGACAGCCCCGAGTGGCCCCAGCTCAGGCCCCATGAAGAAGCCCCATCCACCAAGCATAGTGGCCAGCGTGATTGTAAGTGGAGGTGGTGGCAGCCTGGCACATGCCTGAGCAACATCCTGGCTTGCAGGAGCACCCTCCATGCCCACACAACTTCCAGCAGCCGGCATGGGATCAGAAAGACAACTCCTGATTGCCCCCAGTGGTACCAGGTGGAATCAGGGACCCAAGACTACAAAAAATGTGCCAGCAAAGACTTAGTGCATCAAACATCAAGAAAAACTACTGACATAATTGAGAGCAGAAGGAAAATTACAAGTCTCCAGAAACCAACCCTGAAGTCACAAAAATTTACAATGAAAATGACAAAGTCAGAATACCCATCATAAAGAAATGCAATGAGTTACAAGAAAACTCAGGCAGTTCAATGAGCTCAGGAGTAAAATTAATGAGCAGAAGAAATACTTCACCAAAGAGATGGAAACTTAAAAAAAAAACATAGATTCTGGATATGAAATAAACATATAGTAAATTTAAATATCTAGAATCCTTAAAAAATAGAGCTGATGTTATGGAGGAAAGAATTAGTTAATTAGAGGATAGGAATACAGAAATGCTTCAGGTGGAGAAGGAGAGAGTACTAAGATTTAAAAATGAAGGAATTCTTCCAGAAACATCTGACACAATTAGGAAAAACAGCATAATGATTATAGGTATTCCAGAGGGAGAAAGGAAGAGAGAAATTATTCAAAGAAAAAATCACTGAGAACTTCCCAAACCCGGAGGAGCAACTGGACTTACAAATACATGAAACTAATAGAACTCCTAATTAAGTCAATACAAAAAGATCTTCTCCAAGGAATATAATAGTAAAACTGCCAAAAGTCTACAAAAAACAAAACATATTAAGGGCAGCAAGGCAGAAGAGAATAATCTACAAAGGAACGCCCATCAGGCTTTCAGTGGATTTCTTGGCAGAAACCTTACAGTCTAGGGGAGAATGGAATGATATATTCAAAATACTGAAAGACAAAAACTTTCAGCCAAGAATATTCTATCCATTGAAACTATCCTTCAGATATGGTGGAAAAAGAAAAGTTTTCCCAGATAAACAAAAGCTAAGGGAGTTCATTGCCCCTAGACTTCCCTTACAAGAAATGATAAAGGAAGCCCTCATACCTGAAACAAAAAGGCAAAGATCCACAAAGCACTGAGCAAAGAGATAGACAAAATCTGAAAACTGAGAGTCTCTATCAGAACAGGTTAGCAAACACTTAATTATAACATTAAAGATAAAGGCAAGGAAAGCAGCAAAATAACTATAAACACTTCAATTTAGTCAAAAGCTCACAATACAAAACAGAATAAATTGTGATAACAATAACTCAGAAAGGGAAGAGGAAAGTGATGGTACCTGATTAGGCTAATGGAGGTAAGAGTCTATCATAAAATGGATGATCTCATCTATAAGATGTTTTATACAAATGTCATGGTAACCACTAAACAAACCAAAAAGAAAAAAGCAGAGACACAATTCATAAATAAGGAGAAAACTGAGAAAACCAGCAAACTTAAATGGAAGTCAGAAATACAAAGAAAGGCAAATAATGGAAATATAGAACTGGAAAATAAAAGATAAAATGGCAGTATTAAGCTCTCATATATCAATAATTACTTTAAATGTAAATGGATTGAATTCTCCAATGGAAAGACACAGAGTAGCTGGATGGGTTAGAAAACAAGACCCAAAAACATATTCCCTCCGGGAAACATATCACAGCTCTAAAGACAAACATAGGCTCAAAGTGAAAGGATGGAAGATCATACTGCAAGCAAATGACAAACGAAAGAAATCAGGTGCTGCCCTACTTATATCATACAAAGCAGACTTCAAGATAAAAAAAGACAATGAGAGACAAAGAGGAGCAGTATACAATGATAAAGGGGAATTTCCACCATGAGGACACTTATAAATATATATGCACCTAAGACAGGAGCACTAAAGTATATAAAGCACCTATTAATGGACCCAAAGGGAGAAATTAACAGCAATACAATAATAATAGGGAACCTA